GCCGGTAGCGGCTGTACAGATTCCCGGCGGGATTCTGCTCTTGCGCCCGCAGAAAAAAAAGACGTTTACGTGACCCCCGCCGGGAAGGATCCGCCGTCCGCCTATAATGGCAAGGGGTTCAAAATAAACTAAAAATAGTTTTAAGAAAAATCTGGAAATCTCACCATTGTGGGAGGGGCAGAGACACATACTCCTGGGGGAAATATCACCATTGTGGGAGGGGCAGAGACACAAACTACAGGGGGAAATATCACCATTGTGGGAGGGGCAGAGACACAAACTAGTGGAGGAATCTCACCATTGTGGGAGGGGCAGAGACACAAACTACTGGGGGGAAAACTCACAATTGTGGGAGGGGCAAAGACACAAACTACTGGGGGGGAATCTCACCATTGTGGGAGGGGCAGAGACACAAACTACTGGAGGTAATCTCACCATTGTGGGAGGGGCAGAGACACAAACTACTGGAGGTAATCTCACCATTGTGGGAGGGGCAGAGACACAAGCTACTGGAGGTAATAATAATTTCACCTTTTATTGATCGATATTTATGTGGGGTGCTCATAGCTCCGGACTAGATGCAGCTTATGGATTAGACGGCTGAAATAACTGATTTTACTCTGCTGATTACTCGGCAATGACAGTTCCCATAATAATCTGCTCTGGTCTTCAATATGATTGTATTTACCAATCTCATGAAATAAAATAAGAATCGTTCCGGCACAATGACTTCCTTCGGGACTGCAGTGTGGCCGTTGATACAATGTTGATGTTTTATGACCGGAGTAAATGTCAGGCTGCTGATAAAAAGGAAGTTCACAGCGATTACTGAGGTCACATCGACTTCATATGGAAAGCAGAGCCGGATACAAACGTTTATTTTACTCCACAACCCCGGCCAAAATAAATATCACAGGACGCCGAGTGACATTGTGAATGTGAAAGGCGGTCACTATAGATGTGTATTGTTATATTCTGCAGACTATTCCACCACTGACCCCTCTAGAGATCTGCAGAACATTGCTCCGTCCCATCTCCCCCCTGACAGATACATATTGATATACTCTGCAGAATATTCCACCACTGACCCCTCTAGAGATCTGCAGAACATTGCTCCGTCCCATCCCCCCTGACAGATACATATTGATATATTCTGCAGATTATTCCACCACTGACCCCTCTAGAGGTCTGCAGAGCATTGCTCCGTCCCATCTCCCCCCTGACAGATACATATTGATATACTCTGCAGATTATTCCACCACTGACCTCTCTAGAGATCTGCAGAGTATTGCTCCGTCCCATCTCCCCCCTGACAGATACATATTGATATATTCTGCAGATTATTCCACCACTGACCTCTCTAGAGATCTGCAGAGTATTGCTCCGTCCCATCTCCCTCCTGACAGATACATATTGATATATTCTGCAGATTATTCCA